ATGTTCATTAACAAGACATGATTCACAAACATTAACATGATGTTTAAAACAAAATAAAGTGGACACTTGGCGTTGTGGACATTTGCAAAGGCCCATTATTTAGTTGAAGAAAAAAGAAAAAAGATACATAATTTAGAACCTACTTGATTGATGCGTTGTTGTTGGATCGAAATGAGTATTTATTGGATTGATAATAAACCAATGAGAATACTTGATAGAAAATTTTAAGAAAAAAAAATTATAAAAGTTATTAAATTTTATTTTTAAAATAATTTTTAACAATAAAAAAAGATCCAATCGTATAAAATCATCAATAAAAGTCGATGACTCATCGTAAGTAACAACGACAGATTAACACGTCGATATATCTATCTACGATTGGTCTTAGTTCTTCAATAAATTATCAACGTTTTTAAAGTTCAAACGTTGCTCAAGAAGCCAAAATTCAAATGGCATTGGAAATAACTCGTTTTTGGTTAAAAGAAGTATGCATTAAACGTTGGTATATATTTCCATTTATTGCTTATTCAATATTCGTTCATAAACATGAAAATCTTCGACAAGATTATTTTCGTAATCGAAGCCAATTAGTTGGTGGAATGAAAGAACCCAACTGGTAAAAAAATATATAGAACATTTTTTCCCCCATTGTCCTTTTTTTTCATCCTCATAGATCGAACATTTGTATACTTTGACTTTTTTTTTTAACAAATAGATGTACTCATACAAAAAAACACTATATCATAACGATTTATTTTATCATTCATAATGGAATAGGATTTTGAAGTATAAAACAAAGTACAAATAAATATCTCGTTTTCATTAACAAAGTATCAGTTGTTGATGCTTTATCGCCAATAACGAAGAACTAATCAATACTGAAAATGTTATAACTATTTGCATATGGTTATAAAAAAATATGAAAAACCAAACACACATATAATAAACAAAAATGTATATATTTTTTATCCGACTTATAAGAGAAGGTCCTGAGATGATTAAAAGCTTCTGAGTTCATATTATGCCCAGTTGTAGAGAATCAATAGAGTAGAATACCTTTCAATGAGTTTGTGCTGATGTTACGATTTGGTCTGAAAGCTTTGTCCAGATGACGAAGGTCTCAATGACACTAACTTATGCACAAAGTTTCAGAAATTTTCGATCGAGGATCCCGGCGAT